TTTTGCCTTCTTCGTCTGTTTCTTTCTTGCTTTCTTTTTCAGGTGTGGGCTTGATCGTCCCCCTGGTGGTAGCAATAATATAACCTGATGGCAGTTGTGTGTGTTTTCATTGTAGCATGGCTTCCAGTGCACAACTTGTAGCATCGCGAGTTGTTGTTGTGTGTCTGTCAGATCACGGCCTCGGCTCACATGTGGGCATGTTGGTCGGTTTTTTTATGTACTCAACTTCTATGCATACGAAGACACTATCCCTGTGATGGTGAAAACAGATAGTTGCTGTTATGTTTATGTGGCCCTGCATCCTCTCACTCTCATTATATGTATAAACAAAATAGGAAAGACAGACAAACAGGTGTCAATATGTCTGTGCGTATGTATGCGTCTATGTATGTCCATTTTGTGTGTCTGTGTGTCTGTTTGTGCATGCATGTGTATGTCCTTGTGACACTCTGTGTGTTCTGTGATTTGTTTTTCTGTCTATGTGAGTGTGTGCGTCTCTGTGTATGGGTCTGTCTTTCTATGTGTGTCTGTGTGTGTGTGTGCGACAGTTGATGTCAACCGCCCTCTATCCCAGTGTATCTATGTCTGTCTGCGCGAGGTTGACTACTGCGGGCCATGTAAGTGTACACCGTTGCTGTTTGATATCGATGTGGCCCGCAGTAGTCAACCCGATGCTGTTCACCGATAACAATGCCATCCAGCTGCAAAACATGTGGCATCCAACTGTCGGTCTGTCTATCTGTCTGTCTGTCTGTCTGTCTGTCTCTCTGTCAGTCTGTCGGTCTGTTTGTCTGTCTGTCGGTCTGTCTGTCTGCCTGTCTGTCTGTCTGTCTGTCTGACTGTCTGTCTCTCTGTCAGTCTATTGGTCTGTTTGTTTGTCTGTCGGTCTGTCTTTCTGTTTGTCTGTCTGTCTGTCAGTCTGTCTGTCTGTCTCTCTTTCTTTCTTTCTTTCTTTCTTTCTTTCTTTATTTATTTATTTATTTATTTATTCCTTTCTGTTTCTCTGTCTGCTGGTCTGTCAGTCTGTGTGTCTATCTGTCTGTCCGTCGGACTGTCTGTCTGTCTCTCTTTCTGTGTGTCTGTCAGTCTGTCTGTCTGTCTGTCTGTCTGTCTGTCTGACTAGTGCAGTCTGTCTGTCTGTCTCTCTGTCTGTCTGTCTGCTGGTCTGTCTCTCTTTCTTTCTTTCCTTCTTTCTTTCTTTCTTTCTTTCTTTCTTTCTTTCTTTCTTTCTTTCTTTCTTTCTGTCTGTCTGTCTGTCTGTCTGTCTGTCTGTCTGACTACTGCAGTCTGTCTGTTTGTCTCTCTGTCTGTCTGTCGGTCTGTCTGTCTGTCTGTCTGTCTGTCAGTGTGTCTTTCTTTCTTTCTTTCTTTCTTTCTTCCTTTCTGTCTGTCTGTCTGCTGGTCTGTCAGTCTGTCTGTCTATCTGTCTGTCTGTGTGTTTGTCTGTCTGTCTGTCTGTCTGTCTGTCTGTTTGTCTGTCTGTCGGTCTGTCTGTCTGTCTGTCTGTCTGTCTGTCTGTCTTTCTTTCTTTCTTTCTTTCTTTCTTTCTTTTCTGTCTGTCTCTCTGTCTGTCAGTCAGTTCATTAATCTGCCTGTCAGTATGTCTGTATGTCTGTATGTCTGTCTGTAGGTCGGTCTGTCTCTCTGTAGGTCTGTCTGGATGTGTGTCCCTGTGTTAGACT